CCCCCCCCCCCCCCCCCCCCCCCCCATGTTCAGCCATCCTAGCAGCTCCTCTAGGTTAACTGCATCTGCTCCGCACTTGGCCTGGAAGTTATTAAGCCTTTCGTATTAGCCTTCTCCCCTAATGAGCGCCCTAATGACTACTGACACTTTTATGACAGCTGCAGCCTGCCCCCGTAAGTGTGTGCATACACTTGGATTGAAAAACAATTACTCAAATGTGTTATTTTATTGGGGCTATTGAAAATTAAAGGGCTAGTTTTTGTTTGGGTCAATAAAGCATATGACAATGAACAGAATAATCAGGAAAAAAATACACAAGTCAAGTCAGTTAACCTATTTGACGCACCACCATCCCATTTTGAAGGCTGTTTAGACTGTAGGATCTGGCTTTCTGCTCAGTGCTTGAACTCAGACTGCAAGTTTCAATGCTGTTTGTGGCTTTTTGCACACTAACTGCTATAGGGCGAGCCGCTGCAGAGATGAGTGACTGAGGGCTTTAAACTCATTTAGTGCACATGATGAGTGAATAGAATGTCCAAGGGACTACGGACCATCCGTCTTCCCTTTGTCAAGCTTTCTATGTGGCAGGCAGACAGGGCCTAGTGGGGTCTGGAAATTAACATCCCCTGAAAATAAAGACTGTTTGAGTTTGTGGGTCCTTTTATGGGGAAGGAGTGTTTGCGTATGAAATATGGCTGATTGGAAACATGCATTGTGGTGTACTTTTTTCCTTTTCCACCTACATTTATTTATTTATTTATTTATATATATATATATATATATATATATATATATATATATATATATATATATATATATATATATATACGCGTATGAACAGGTTTTACATATGGCTCTCAAACAGGAGCTCTACATTACTCAGTGACCCTGAAAAACAAGATATAATCTTCTGTTTCCTCACCGTAATAAATCAGCATCTTGCTCGTCTCCTCTATCACAGTGGAATAAGGATAGCACGTTTTGCACCGTCATGGGCTTCTCATGATGTCATGTGTGTGTTGGAAAGTGTATGATGCATCAAATGAAAATGTGTATATACTCCCAGCTAGTCGGAAAAACATCTTTTTTGTGTTCTCTAACATATAGATTTTGATTTGTGCATGTCTCATAGCAATCATTAACGGCGTGAAAAACCACGCTTGACTCTCCGCATTATACAGTGTGAATCTTGGCCTGTCTTTAACAGGCCCTTGACATGCATGGAGGGATCAAATCTCTGTTGCTGTGTATTTTTGCTGCATTTGTGGCTCAGACTCTGTGACTACAGAAAGAACAACTCAGGGCTTGTAGTGAAAAAGAGATGCGAGGATGAGAAATGGATGACTCAAATTTTTCACTGCTTTCACTATGCTTGGACTGGGTAATACAGTGACATTTTTTTTTAAGTAATATTTGTTTATTTATATATTGTATTATATTTGAATGTATAGTGCATAAAGTAAAATATAAATATAAAGTCAATAAAATAATCAAAATAACAGTACAAAATTCAGTTTTAATTAGCTGTACTTTTTTAAACAATATTTTGACTACAGTAAATTAAAATTTGTAATCCAGCTTCATTTTGTATACACTTTACACTTTTTGTCTACACTACCTATCAAGGGTTTGGGGTCAGATCAGCTTATTCTCACCAAGGCAGCATCTATTTGATCAAAGAAAAAAAAAATTTAACATTGTGAAAATTGCAATTAAAAATGGCTGTTTTCAGTGTGGAACGATCCTTCAGAAGTCAGTCTAATATGCTGATTTGGTGCTCAAGAAAAAATTCTTATCAGTATTGAAAACACTGGTATTGATTAATATTTTTGTGGAAACTGATACATTTTTTTCAGGATTCTTTAATGAATATGAAGTTCAAAAGAACAGCATTTATTTGACAGAAATTCTTTTGTAACAATGTCTGTAAAAGTATTAATGTCTTACCCCAAACTTTTGGACAGTAGTGTGTTTTTAATAAAAACATTTAATTCTTAAAGTATTTTTTTTTTGTCTGTGTTTTTTGACAAAAATAGAAAAGATACACTAGAAAAAAAAAGCAGCATGCTAAAATAAAAGTTAAGCAAGATATTAATGGACTTTGTTTCTGTGTGTCTCTCTGTTGTGCTTATCTAGGTCCTACTGGTATTGGTTTGAATGAGCTCAAAAGGAAGTTGTTGATATCCGATCCACAACATTTTAGTGTCACCATCCCACGTAAGTCCTTCCTTATGTGTGTGCGTTTGTGTGATAGTATGAGACTGATTTTTTTTTTGTGTCATACTCATTACAGTACTGTAGATTACCTTTGTGACAATGAATCTCTCACCTCATCAGTCTGTCACTGCTCTACTTGACATTCCTCTGTCCCCAGCAGCAGTGCCCCTTCCCTTCCTCCAGCATCCAGAAACACACAATCCAGGGAAATACACCAGAGCAGATATTTTTAGGACGTATAAATAAGCCTGCAATTTATGTATTTAAACAGGCTGACACTGAAGAAATTGCATATTTAGAGGCAGGAAAGTGAGAGACAGAGCTTGAACGTTTAAAGAAGTTCAGAGACAGTGGCCAGAAAAGCCGTGACTGTTGATATAACAGTTGGATGTTTGTTACATTCGAGTTTGGCTTTAATAAATGTGTCTGATTTAGGCTCTGACACTTTGAAATGCCACTGGTATTGAAATTCCATCCAAAGCATTTTGCGTTAATGCTGCCTAATTGCTCACAAATGTGACCCCTGCATTAGTCTGCATTATGTAGCCCGGCTCCTCTCAGACCTTACGAAGAATTTAGATAAAAGGGATGGATTCTTGGAAAGGGACCGTTTTGAAAGTGCTTTTTGGTAATCTTTCCCCTTTTATTTCAGTCCTGCCAGCTCCAACTCTCATTGTTAATATGGAGTGATTAAACGTTTGAATATTTCGATTTCATTTCTCTAAAGACGACCAACGTGAACGATTGCTTCACATTTCCAATAACTGGGTCTTTTAAAATGCAAACCAGTCATGGCAGCAATGCTAGCAAGATTGTAGAATACGATTAGTTGGGAGCACTTGAACGTTTTGTCTCCTCTCCAACTTTTACTGCTATTTTCCATGATCTTAGAATGAAATTCAAATTCTTTTGCCACACCAAAAACATTTCCTATGCCACAGAGCTAATGCCAGATTAAATATATTCTATTTCTTTCAGCAGTACAAGGGAGTAACTTTTTTTTCTTTGTTTTGTGAGCACCAGCAGTTGGAGGTATAATAACATGTTATCTTATGTCTGTGGTGGGCTGTCATCATGAGAGGGGGATGCCTCTTCATCAAAGATGTGATGGATTGAGGGCAACTAATAATTTACTCCCATCCCACCCAACCCATACTTTCTCTCTCGTCTCTCTCCCTCTGTCTTTATCTATAGGAATAGGTGTCCACTTACAAACTAAATGAGCAAATTAGACAGCCGCTTGTCCATTCATTTTATGACGAATTGTACACTACTGCTGAAATTTGATTATTTTTTTAAAGTAGTCTCTAATGCTTACCAATGCTGCATTTATTTGATCAAAAATACAGCAAATAGTTATATTGGAAAAATAATATTGCAAGTGTGTCACATGGTCATTCAAAAATTATTGTAATATGCTAATTTGGTGCTCAAGAAATGTGGTTTATTATGACAGTTGAGAATGATTGTTCTGCTTGATATTTATGTGGAAAACCTTTTTTCAGGATTCTTTAAATAGAAAGTTCAAAGATCAGCATTTTTCTTCATAATGTTAAAAATGTCTTTACACTTTACCATCGATTTTGAGCAAATTAATTCATTCTTGCTGAATGAAAGTATTAGTTTATTTAAAGGGATCCTATTATGCCTGTAGTGTGTATGTTTGGACATAAAAAGGTTCTAGAAAGTTACAAATCTCAAAGTCCACTCCAAAGGGAGATATTTAGTTTTTAAAAAAAAAATTTTTTTCAAGAACTACAGCAAACGGCACGTTTGGACTACGGAGTTTGGTTTCCGGGTTTTGTGATATCACAAAGCAGCTCATTGGAATATCATTACAAATAATTCCCGCCTACAGAAATTCGAATGGTTGGGGGGTGGGGAGGGGCGAGGTCGTGGTTAGAACGCTTGGTTGAGTGAGTGGACACTGTGTAGGGAGCATGTCAATCGGAACACAGTTCATGCACGGAGCTCACTTCTAACGAGATGATCTGAATCAGGTGTGTTAACAGAGAGACGTGCAAAACATGCAGAGTGGGGGTACGCGAGGACTGGAATTGAGAACCGCTGGTCTAGAACAATTCTTACAAGTATAACACGACGTAACTGGGTGCTACTAATGATAGACGCCGAACGGTGCCGCTGGTGTGCTACACTCATAGAAAATAATGTATTTGAATTTTAAAGATGTGGCGCGACGCTGCGCTTCTCGTCCGGTGTGCGACCGCCTGGAATGCTGTTTTTTTCATCTCCGTGCCCAAACGTCTTTGTTTGGACTTCCGAAAGTGGATGATGTCAGGAAAATGTGGTTGCAATTTACTTTTTAACTCTGTTCCTGAGCATTATAACCCCAATTTGTGTGCTGCGCATTTTACTGAGGACAGCTTCCACATCACGAGTGAGAAGTGCCGGATTCCCAAAAGCTTTTGTTGAAAGACTGAGCAAGGGGCGTTGCAGTACTGAAACTCCGTCTAAGCTGTTCGCCAATCACAACGCACTGGGAAAGCTAACCAATCACAACACATTTTGTTTTTCGGAAGGCGGACCTTCATCAAAGCCGGAACTAATTGAGCCGTTTGTGCCAGCCTGGGGAGAAAGGTATTGTAATAATGTAAATTATGTGAAAAATAATGTGTTTTTCGAACTACCAAGCATGAGAGCATGTTCTAGTACACCCCCAAAACAAAATCAAGACGTTGTAAAAGAGCATAATAGGACCCCTTTAAAAAAACAACTCTGAACTGTAATGTGTTTATATATTTAAAAAAATACAGGAAAATTACCTATACATGTCATGATAAATAGATAAATAGAGCGATAGAGTCCATTCAATAGTGGCCTTGAAAAAGCAGAAGGAAAAAAGCAGAGGAAGAAAAAAACCTGGAACATGGCGAGTTGGAATGGTGATAAAGTTTAATAGTTTGTTTTGGAGGTGCTGGCGGCTTGCAGACGATTTGTCGGAGGTGTGTTCTACAGTGACCTTTGACCTCCCCGACACTCGTTAAACACACCGCTGTGTCTCTCCACACAGCAAACTCTGACCCTGGCTGTACCCGGCGGAGCCATGCTGGCTGGACTGGCACACGCCGACTGATTTAAAGACAGGAGTTTATAAGCAGCTGAAAGCAGGAACGGGGCTAATGAGGGACAGAGTAAACTCAGTGCTGGTACTGTACAGTGTGCTCCTGGGGCTTTACAAGCAGCGTTATACTCACACTGCCCTTTAGAAGCCTTGTGGTGAGGTGAGCCAAGACAGACGCGGTGGGTGTGGCGTCAGACCTTGGAGAGGTGGTTTACTTTAAATAAAATTAAGTGGGAAATAAAGTGCCCACGGGGAAACTCCCTTTAATCAAGGAAATGTCTGTAATGAACATTTCTTCACATGTTCTTCTTGAAGCACCTTTAACCATTAAGTTATTCCACCACAGTGCTCTAAGAAACCCTGCTGGTGTTTTATTTCAGTTAGGGAAACCGTATCTAATGTCACTTAGGGCCGGGTATAAATATAGTTTTTCAGATTAATTGCAATCATCTTAATTACATTCTGTGAATAATCCCAGTATTGATTGTTAAAATCTAATGATTGAGCTTTTATTAATACTTATTTTTAGTGGCTGTGTGAAAATGTATCTGTAAAGCACCTCCTGTCCTGTACTGTACCTGTACTGTCCTCATTGTTCATGTAGAAGATACTGTATAGTGTGACCAGTGTAGTTCAATTCACGAACAGTTGACTCTTATGAACCAGTTCCGTTTAGTGAATCCAAAACATGCACTGTGACCAGTGTAGCCCAATTCCCAAAACAATGGACTCTTTTGAGCCAGTTCTTGTAATTCTCTTTTACGGTTCTGAATCATGAGCTGGTTAATCACAATCGATTTAAGATATCCAGCCCTAATGCAATTATATTTAAGTTTTCTGAAGCTATAGTAGATTTTTTTTCCCCTCCAGAAATGTGGATGTGCTACAATTTTATGTGGATGGGTTTGTGATTTGTAAAAGCTAGAATACACTACAGCTTTTGCCCAGATTTTTGTCCCAATTTACAGTCTTGCCAAGTCAATTTTATGAGGTAATTTTAGAACTTTTTAGATTTTTCTATGTAACCATTTGCAAAACGGCAAGTACATGTCTAGTGTTTTAAAATCTTTTCATATTCGAAAAGTCATGTAGCATTTTCTATTCGATCTTTACGTGTGAAACTATACAAAATAAGATACTTTGCCTTAATTACTTTGTCTTATCTTTCACAGACACATCTCGATCGAAGAGACATCAAGAAAGCGATGGAGTGGAGTATCATTTTATCTCCAAACACCTTTTTGAGGCAGACATTCAGAACAACAAGTAAGTTACCATCCAGCACAGTCTTGCTTCGATTGAAACACACTGCTAGTGTGTATTATTTGGAATGAGTATATGAACGTTTCTTCTGTGATTTGGATTTGGGATGTGAAAGTTTACCGTGGAGATCAAATAGTCAGTATTAATCATTGAAGGTTAGTGGACCGCTTCCTTTATTCTCAGGATTGTAATTATGTCAACCATAACCCTGACACAAACACTACGTGGTGGGAGAGATATAAATCTGAGAGATAGAGCCTCTGTGGCCAGTTAGTATTCAACACATCGTCCAGAGCCCCGACTGAACTGAAGTAAATCAGCACCCCAGTCAAAACACTGCACAACAATTTTCACTGATGTCGTCTGTCTCAGACGCTATGGCAAACATTCACCAGCTCTGCCTTTCAGCTGCCCACTATTCTTTCATTTTTCCACTCCATTTCCTTCAACCAAATTGTGTGTGTGAGTGTAGCAGCATGATGTGGGCTCAGATCCCTTCTCTGTAAGCGAGAGTGAGAGGGTGTTGACAGGTGGTCTGTTTCTGTGTGTGCGTAAGCGAGAGAGGGGGATCAGACTCTTTTTACCCAGTGGTTCATAAGCTCAGATTTGTATGGATGGCCTGGTGATGGATGTTTTTCTGCAGCCCCTCATCAGAGGATAAAACAATACAACATGAATAGAATGTCACCTCACCAGCAAACCAGGCATTTTAACTGCCTTGTGGTGGAAAAAACAAGCAGTGGCTTGTTCTGTGGTGAAATGAACATTAAATTGAGTAAACCACAATTATCAATGTTGAGAACGAGCAAGCTCAAGCAGGTGGGCACAAGGGACTGCAACAGGGATGGAAATAAAAAAAAATTCCCCCTTCTGTCAGCATTTTCTCTTCCATTTTTTTAAAAATCTGTCCGGATCTATTCATTTATTAAAAAATACATGAAATGTGCAACTCACAAATACAAAGACTTATATTATCAACTCTTTTTTTTTTTTTTTTTTTTTTTTTTTTTTTTTTAAATCATTAATTTAGATATTTCTTAATGTTATGTTTTATGTATATAAAATAACCCACTATGTTATTATATTTAAAAAAAAAAACTGTTATTATTGCGTAGTTGGCATATGTTACTTACTTGGGGGGGGGGGTAAAACTGCTTTGTGAAATGTTAAAACGCTTAAAAAAAAAAATAAAAAGCTGTTTACATTGGAAAAATATTTGTAAATTTTTCAGAGTGGCTAAGATCTGTACTCTAACATGTTCATAATTCAAGGAAAATATATTCTGTTTGGTTATACCATATGACATTTTTAAAGTCATTAAATTTTCTTGGCGACAAAGCCCGCCAAGCCTGCCAAAGCCCGCCAGAATGGACGGGGCGTCTGGCTATGTAAGCGGGCGCAGGGAAACTTGCACGATGCAGAAGAGCAATGAGAACGTCATCTGTCTGGGCAGACCCCACACAGAGACTGCTCTCTCACTGAGACGGAATGCTCACTCGAGCATGAGGCTCGCTCTCCCCGTTGCACTCGGATCCGCCGCAGAGCGAGTCAGGCTTCCAATGGGTACCACTCGCCCTCAAAGCATTTCAGAGGATGCTGGGCCTCATGGCGGCGGCATCGCCAGCGCTACAGTTGGCTCTGCTTTGTATACGCCCCCTTCAGCGCTGGTTGAAACCACGGGTTCCATCCCATGCGTGGCGTCACGGACGCCTGCAGATCACAATGAGTCAGGCCTGTGTAACAGCCCTGGCCCCCGGAAAAAGTTCCTGCTAGATGGAACAGGGCGTGGCCGTAGGGATAGTTTGCAGAAGGACAGTTGTCACAACAGATGCCTCCAACTCAGGTTGGGGGCCACTGTGCGAGGGCATACTGACTTTCGGCCACTGGCCGAAGGTGGAAAAAGGCTTCCACACCAACTGCCTGGAAATACTAGCAGTATGTCGGTTCTTCCTGCCAGTCCTAAAAGGGCACCATGTGCTCAACCCGCACTCGCTGAGAGCAGCGCATATACCGGGCAAATTAAACCAAGGAGCGGACATTTTATCAAGGAGCAAGGTCTCCTCAGGGGGAGTGGACGCTTCATCCGCAGACGGTTCAGAGGATCTGGGAGATCTTCGGCGAGGCCGAGGTAGACCTCTTCGCCTCAGAGACAACTCTCACTGCCCAATCTATTTCTCAAAGACCAAGGACGCGTTGGCCCACAACTGGCCCAGCCACCTCCTTATGCTTTTCCCCCGATCGCTCTGATCCCACAGGTAATCAGGCGAGTGAGGGAACGAGAACACAGGGTTCTCCTGGTGGCCCCCCTTTGGATGAACCTGCTGTGGCTATCGGAGCTAACTCGGCTATTGATTGCTGCCCCTTGGCCTGTTCCGCTGAGACAGGATCTCCTCTCTCAAGCGAACGGGACAATATGGCATCCTTGGCCCGACCTATGCGTCCGGCACCTCTGGCCGCTCGACGCGAGCCTTCGAGCCTCCCAGAGCGAGTCTTAAACATAATTTCGGAGGCTAGAGCTCAGTCTACGAGATGCCTCTATGCCTTAAAGTGGTCTTTTTTTCTCCACTTGGAGTCTAAACCGCGGCAAAGACCCTCATACTTCCGGTTTGACAGATGTGTTGTCATTTCTGCAAGAGCTGCTGGATAAGGGACATTCCCCATCCACGCTCAAAGTCTATGTGGCTATAGCGGTCTCTCATGCCCCTAGTGAGGGAGAATCAGTAGGCAGAAACAGCGCGGTCATCCGCTTCCTAAGGGGTGCTAGGAGGCTAAATCCGCCTCGTCTCCCTACCGTCCCTTCATGGGATCTGCCCACTGTGCTGAGGGCTCTGAAAGGCCCCGCTTTCAAGCTGCTACAGTCTGCCAACATTCGGTCACTATCTCTGAAGACTGCTCTGCTTCTAGCACTGGCATCAGTAAAGCGAATAGGGGAGCTACAGGTGCTCTCTATTAGCCCTGCTTCCCTGGAATTCAGGCCTAACGACACTAAAGTCATCCTGAAACCAAGGCACGGGCCCACTCGACTAGAAGCATCGCCTCGTCTTGGGCATGGTCCACATTCGCAAGGTTTTATAACCTGGAAGTCCCGGAACTTTCCGCTTGAAGTGACATGCGCTGCATAAACAGATCTGGCAGAGGTTCCTTGGCCGTATCACGCAAGTTCTCTGGCATTGTTTCACCTGTTAGCTCTCGATCCCTGGGTGTCTAAGTTACAGGAGAACTCTGCAACGATTAACCAGGCCGGGTGTGACCTCGGGAAGCTCAGCCCGTCTTAGCCTTGGGTTATTGTTAACTTCTCTATGGGCATTGGTTGCTTACGGAAGTTTTATACCTTTTGTCGTTCCACTACATTAGCACGGCGTGATTGTACTGTGTTCTCATATGCGTCTAGCAGACGCAGTATGAGTGTAGTATCGAAAGGGAACGTACTCGGTTAATAACGTAACCTCGGTTCCCTGAGATACGGGAACGAGGACTGCGTTGCTAGCCGTGCTATGTAGCTGCATGACTCAGTCGTTGCTTCAGTCGAAGTAACCTGAGAATTCTGTGGCGAATGCCCGCTTATATAGCCAGACGCCCCGCCCATTCTGGCTGGCTTTGGCGGGCTTCGTCGCCATAGGCTCGTGCAGCTCCGCTCCCTAACCATTGGTTCGTACATTTTTTAATACACTCCACGAACCACTGGCCGTGCAGTTTCACTGCGTGAATGAAAAAGGCTTCAGTTCAGGAGAAAAAACTTTTTTCCCATATGCGTCTAGCAGACGCAGTACTCGTTCCCGTATCTCAGGGAACCGAGGTTACGTTAGTAACCGAGTACGTTGTATTTGACCAGTTGTTCATTATTCTGACTTCCAGTGAGAAAATGCCCATTCTCATGTGCAAACACGACATTTGTGTTCCCTAGGAAAACCCTACTCAGGGCTAAAAACAGCATTTAAAGGAACCCAAAAACCACAGAAGCAGCCTGCACCCCACCATCCAAAACATGCACCGCATCATGACAACCAATGCCACGACACATAAGCCCTGTTTGAGAATATTTTGCCTTTAAATTAAAATTTAGTCACTTCAGGAATTCCTGGTAACCCTTACATGTCACATTAACACCAGCAAACCACCTCTTAGCACCCAACTAAATCAACTTGGCTCACCAGCAAAATGCCTTCAATGAAAGAGTGTGCAGGCTTTTAAAACATGTCTAACAGGAGAAGAGTGACAGGGAGTCACGTTAACTTCTAAAAATGATCGCTCAATCACAGGTTGCTGTTAGACAGCATGGGCCCAAAACTGTGAGCGCGTTTATAGTTTTCACTTCAAAGACTTGTTGACATTTAGATTGATACTTAGGGCCTGTAGATACAGTATAAAGAACATTTCACCAGTAGTTTCAGTAGTGGTAATTTTAGTGGCCTGAGTTGCATAACCAAATATTCACGGAATATTACAACACTGTGCTGTCGTAAGACTCTTTCGTTCTTCTGGAATACTTTCCATTATTCTTCCACATTGCTTGCTAAGATGGATGTCCTAAAAATACACACCGGTGTTCTGTGACGCTGATCAGGGAAAAAAAATCAATGGATTGGATTGAACAAGAGGCAGATTAAATACTGGAAAAGTGTTTGTTTGTCTTTGTCTTCTCAGGAAGTCAAGTTACTCTTGCTGTTGGCATTCAAGCCTGACTGTGCTGCAAGGAAACAGGTGTTACTGATTTAAACTGTAACATAGAAGATTATATAAAAGAGCCTTGTGTCAGACTGTCTGGAATCGCCATGTGGGGAAGAATGCGAGTGATGGTGAACACACCGTGCATGTCTAAGCAGCCTTTTACACTGAAAGCATCAGGACAGGCTGGGAGTAAATAATGGGTTACAAGTTTCCTGTCATTATCCTGTCCATTGGCTTCTCTTTGTATTCTAGGGTGGGGTCACGTAGACCCATAGGCATTGCTTTTGCATTTACATCAAACCTCTCCTGTTTTTTCTGTCTTTTCCTATGCCTCAGGTTCATTGAACACGGTGAGTATAAGGGAAACTACTATGGGACGAGCTTGGACTCTGTACGTTCAGTCCTGTCCAAGAACAAGGTGTGCCTTCTAGACGTACAGCCACATGTGAGTAACTCCTCAAATACACATTCTACCTCTCCATTTTACCTCCCTCTGTGTCACTCCATTCTTCAGTCTCTGTTCCAGATTTATTTTCCCCCCTTTCACAGGTGTGACATTCCACACTATTCCTCCTGGATCTTTTCTGAGATCAGTGTGGTGTGTGAGTGTTTGTGTGTGTGTGTGGTTCTGTACCAGGTGTGTGTGTGTGTGGTTCTGTACCAGGTGTGTGTGTGTGTGTGGTTCGGTATCAGGTGTGTGTGTGGTTCGGTACCAGGTGTGTGTGTGTGTGTGGTTCTGTTCCCGGGGGGGGGGGGGGGGGGTTGTGTGTGTGTGTGTGTGTGTGTTTGTTTGAGTTTGCTCATCCTTTTGGTCTTCAGGTCAGGCAGGAGATCTAATGTTATCTCTACTAATTGTCCCACGTTTGAAGATTTCCTCAGGCTTTGTGTTAGTCTGAGAGTAGTGTAGGGGAACATGATTTAGTTGGTTGAGTCTTCGCAGAACTGTATCAGTGTCCACATTGAAGTCAGTGAAAGACCTCCGTCACCTCTGCCTCAGACCTATCTTACCTTGGTGGTCTGAGCCTGGCTTCTCTCTTAGAGTAGTAAGAGAGAGAATGAGCCAATGGCATGGTTATCTGTATTATGAAACACATTCTTACTGTGAAGAACCTGTCCTTGTCCTCTAGTTCTTGTTTTCCTATATATCTTATCTCTTATATTTCACACAGTTTGGGAAGTCTGTAATACAAGGAGAGAGTTGTATCTGTTAGCATTCCCATTCATCTCAGTGGCACAGACACCTTTAATGGAGTAAGATATTTGTGAAAAGTAAAATCATTATTTACTCATTCCAGAGATGTCGTTTCAAATCCTTATGCTGTTATTTTAGCCCACAGAATGCAAAAAGAGAATTTTAGAAAAGGTCCGTGCTCCTCTACAGAAACATTTCTAAGTGACCATGGCTATCAAACAAAAAAAAATTTTTAATTGTAAATATTATATTTAGCCTATACAATTTATAGACTGTATGCACATTATATTCTTATTTTTCTTATGAATCCTTATGACAGCTTTGTATGAAGAAGAGACTAAATTTACTATATCTCTATCCAGCATAGCTCTCCAATCTCAGTTGAAAGATGGAACCAGAAGAATTTACAATATTATATATATATATATATATACACATATAGTGCCGTGAAAAGGTTTTTGCCACCTTCCTGTTTTTTGTTGGTTTTTTTGCATATTTGTCACACTTAAAAGATTCAGATCATCAAACGAATTTTTATATTGCACAAAGATAATGCAAGTAAATACAAAATGCAGTTTTTAAATAATGATTTTATTTATTAAGGGAAAAAAGCTGTCCAAACCTACCTGGCCCTACGTGAAAAATTAATTGCCCCCCTCCTGTTAAATCATGAAAGAACTGTGATAAAACAAATTATTTTAGAAAGCCGAGTTACATATTTCACTAGCCACACCCAGGCCTGATTACTGCCAGACCTGTTGAATCAAGAAATCACTTAAATAGAACCTGTCTGACAAAGTGAAGCATGCTTAAAGAGCAACACATCATGCCGCGATCTAAAGAAATTCAAGAATAGTTGACATTTATCAGTCTGCAAAGGATTATAAAGCCATTTCTAAGGCTTTGGGACTCCAGCGAGCCACGGTCAGAGCCATTATCCACAAATGGAGAAAACTTGGAACAGTGGTGCGTAAAACCAACACCGCATTTCATACCAACACTCAAACATGGTGGTGGTAGTGTGATGGTCTGGGGCTGCTTTGCAGCTTCAGGACCTGGACGACTTGCTATAATTGATGGAACCATGAATTCTGCACTCTATCAGAAAATCCTGAAGAAGAATGTCCGGCAGTCAGTTTGTGACCTCAAGCTCAAGCGCACTTGGGTTATGCAGCAGGACAATGATCCCAAACACACCAGCAAGTCCACCTCTGAATGGCTCAAGAAAAACAAAATTAATGTTTTGGAGTGGCCAAGTCAAAGTCCGGACTTAAATCCGATTTAAGACAAAAAATGCACAAAAAAATCAATAATGCATTCAAAGGTAGTGTATTGCGCACTTTTTTTCATTTAAAAGTACTGAAATATGAACAAAAGTGCAATAACATTTGGTTTGCAAACACTTTAAACTATTTTTTTACAGCAGTTTTCCTTTTACGTAGTAGTAGTTAAACTTATAACATTAATGTAATCAAATTAAATATAAAACCAAAGCTATTTGCCACTGCCAGGGCATTAACATTTTTATAGAAAATATTTTATCTTTTATTATAGAAAAACAAGTTCATGCTCAGAGTCCAGAGCCTCGATCATAACATTATAATGGGCACCTTCCGAGCAGAGACCTGCACTATCGTGGGACCCAACGCAGCAGAGTGCAGTGTGGGACAACACTTGATGGGCGAGTGCGGGTAGAGACTCGTGTGTGCGGGATGCGGGAGAATAAGGGTGTACTCACACTAGGCAATCTTAACCGTGCCCGAGCATATTTGACCACCAAAGCCCGGTTCGTTTGACTAGTGTGATCACTCTGTGCCACGCTTGTATAGATCAGTGAGTGTCAAAAGATTAACTTTTTGGAAGGTGTGTGTCCTGTTACATCTGGCGTAAAACCAACACCGCATTTCATACCAACACTCAAACATGGTGGTGGTAGTGTGATGGTCTGGGGCTGCTTTGCAGCTTCAGGACCTGGACGACTTGCTATAATTGATGGAACCATGAATTCTGCACTCTATCAGAAAATCCTGAAGAAGAATGTCCGGCAGTCAGTTTGTGACCTCAAGCTCAAGCGCACTTGGGTTATGCAGCAGGACAATGATCCCAAACACACCAGCAAGTCCACCTCTGAATGGCTCAAGAAAAACAAAATTAATGTTTTGGAGTGGCCAAGTCAAAGTCCGGACTTAAATCCGATTTAAGACAAAAAATGCACAAAAAAATCAATAATGCATTCAAAGGTAGTGTATTGCGCACTTTTTTTCATTTAAAAGTACTGAAATATGAACAAAAGTGCAATAACATTTGGTTTGCAAACACTTTAAACTATTTTTTTACAGCAGTTTTCCTTTTACGTAGTAGTAGTTAAACTTATAACATTAATGTAATCAAATTAAATATAAAACCAAAGCTATTTGCCACTGCCAGGGCATTAACATTTTTATAGAAAATATTTTATCTTTTATTATAGAAAAACAAGTTCATGCTCAGAGTCCAGAGCCTCGATCATAACATTATAATGGGCACCTTCCGAGCAGAGACCTGCACTATCGTGGGACCCAACGCAGCAGAGTGCAGTGTGGGACAACACTTGATGGGCGAGTGCGGGTAGAGACTCGTGTGTGCGGGATGCGGGAGAATAAGGGTGTACTCACACTAGGCAATCTTAACCGTGCCCGAGCATATTTGACCACCAAAGCCCGGTTCGTTTGACTAGTGTGATCACTCTGTGCCACGCTTGTATAGATCAGTGAGTGTGAGTGCTAACTGCGCTAGAGCGCGGAACTTACGGTATGTGCAGCATGGTTGCGTCAACATTTCTGAGTGGCAAAAGTGATAGATCTGTAAAGCAATATATTGTGAGAGGGCCGTGTGTTACCGCATCCCAAATGACTCAAAATAATAAACCACAAAATTAACTAAACGACGCACTCCACTGTGCTGAGTAAGAGCGCTTCTCTGCTGTCTTCACGTGCTATCAGAAACTTTTCCCACTTATGAAGTCGTGAGTGACTCCAGAAAATCACATTGTAGGATTTTTAAAGAATTTATTTGCTAATTATGGTGGAAAATAAGTATTTGGTCAATAATAAAATTTCATCTCAATACTTTATATACCCTTTGTTGGCAATGACAGAGGTCAAACGTTTTCTGTAAGTCTTCACAAGGTTTTCACACACTGTTGCTGGTATTTTGGCCCATTCCTCCATGCAGATCTCCTCTAGAGCAGTAATGTTTTGGGGCTGTCGCGGGCAACATGGATTTTCAACTCCCTCCAAAGATTTTCTATGGGGTTGAGATCTGGAGACTGGCTAGGCCACTCCAGGACCTTGAAATGCTTCTTACGAAGCCACTCCTTCGTTGCCCGGGCGGTGTGTTTGGGATCATTGTCATGCTGAAAGACCCAGCCACGTTTCATCTTCAATGCCCTTGCTGATGGAAGGAGGTTTTCACTCAAAACCTCACGATACATGGCCCCATTCATTCTTCAGTCGTCCTGGTCCCTTTGCAGAAAAACAACCCCAAAGCATGATGTTTCCACCCCCATGCGTCACAGTAGGTATGGTGTTCTTTGGATGCAACTCAGCACTCTTTCTCCTCCAAACACGACAAGTTGAGTTTTTACCAAAAAGTTATATTTTGGTTTCATCTGACCATATGACATTCTCCCAATCCTCTTCTGGATCATCCAAATGCTCTCTAGCAAACTTCAGACAGGCCTGGACATGTACTGGCTTAAGCAGGGGGACACATCTGGCACTGCAGGATTTGAGTCCCTGGCAGCGCAGTGTGTTACTGATGGTAGCCTTTGTTACTTTGGTCCCAGCTCTCTGCAGGTCATTCACTAGGTCCCCCCGTGTGGTTCTGGGATTTTTGCTCACAGTTCTTGTGATCATTTTGACCCCACGGGGTGAGATCTTGCGTGGAGCCCCAGATCGAGGGAGATTATCAGTGGTCTTGTATGTCTTCCATTTTCTAATAATTGCTCCCACAGTTGATTTCTTCACACTAAGCTGCTTACCTATTGCAGATTCAGTCTTGCCAGCCTGGTGCAGGTCTACAATTTTGTTTCTGGTGTCCTTTGCCAGCTCTTTGGTCTTGGCCATGGTGGAGTTTGGAGTGTGACTGTTTGAGGTTTTGGACAGGTGTCTTTTATACTGATAATGAGTTCAAACAGATGCCATTAATACAGGTAACGAGTGGAGGACAGAGGAGCCTCTTAAAGAAGAAGTTACAGGTCTGTGAGAGCCAGAAATCTTGCTTGTTTGTAGGTGACCAAATACTTATTTTACCGAGGAATTTACCAATTAATTCTTTAAAAATCCTACAATGTGATTTTCTGGATTTTTTTTCCTCATTTTGTCTCTCATAGTTGAGGTATACCTATGATGAAAATTACAGGTCTCTCTCATCTTTTTAAGTGGGAGAACTTGCACAATTGGTGGCTGACTAAATACTTTTTTGCCCCACTGTACTGTGCGCGTGCGCGTGCGCGTGCGCGTGCGTGTGTGTGTGTGTGTGTGTGTGTGTGTGTGTGTACAAAATTAAGCAATTTTTTCCTCCAAAGTTGAAGCGAAAATCTGATATGGCAATAATCTTAAATAAAACAACAGCCAATTCAAATATGCTGCATGATATGGTTTCAAAAAGTATGGACTACTTTGTGATAATTTTATGTTGCTTTTTTGCCATTATACAGCTTAACAGCCCTTGGCCACACTTTCCTACAGTAAATGACGTTGACATGTTTAAATTTTGATTGAATGATCTCCTAAATGTACTGTGGCAAAAACAGGCAGTTTAATTATAGGGCTAGAAAAACTGTTATGGTGATTTTCCAAACTAGATCACAGCTATTGTGGAAAAATGCTACAAAACTTTACATTATGCTTTAAAGCCAATTATTAATTCAGTCAGTTGAAAAATCTCCAAATGAAAAATGTGGTAAAGTTCAGTGGTCTGATTGTTTTGAAGATTTCATCAGGATCTCGACTACCTGAAGTGTAATGTGTCTGACCAAAGAGCTTTATTTTCACTCATGGAGTCAGATCAGTTGAGCTCAGTGTGAATCAGCTGCTCTGTTTTCTGTCAAAATGTAACTGTGACTAACAGTAATAATGTACAGAAGTATCAATGTCAAACTAAATCATGATGGCATGAGTGATGCTGCTTTAATGACTGCGGTTCACCCTGCTCTCTTTATCTTTCTCCCCTTTTTTCCACATTCTCTCTCCATCAGACGCTAAAGCATCTACGCACAGCTGAGTTCAAGCCCTATGTGGTGTTTGTGAAGCCTCCATCCATCGAGCGTTTGAGAGAGACCAGGAAGAGCGCAAAAGTCATCTCAGGCAAAGATGATAAGAACTCGTCCAACCCCTTCTCGGTAATACACGCCCCACACAGCTTTGACTTCAGTCTGTCCATCTATCATCCTCTCTCATCCTAATTGGATCACTTTTCTCTCTCAGTAGGTCATTGTGGGTATTAGGTTATGTTCACTGAGTTTTCATTTCACTATCTCACCTAGTTCTTGGTGAAATAAGAAATAGATTTCATCACTTACTGGCAACATTCACATAATTTATTAGTCATTTTCTTTTTGGACCTTGCAAACAACTCCTGGTTTAGTGCGTTAACGTGTGTGTGTGTGTGTATGTGTTTGTGTAACCGCTCCCCTGAGCATCAACCTGATATGAGACCCATAAGCTCACACTACACCTGTATGACTGCACTCAAAGAAAACACATGAAATCAATTAACACGTACAACAGACCCTTACCCTGTCCTGCTGTTAGTTTGTGCTATGTGTGTGTGTGCGATATGGTGTTGAATATGCGGGGTATCTAATGACTCTCCCAGAGTTCAGCACTTTCCTGTGTATCTCGCTGTGTGTCTGCACCGGGGCCACGCGCGCTTGCTACAGGATAAGTGACCCCAGGACCATTCTCTCTCCATCAGACGCTAAAGCATCTACGCACAGCTGAGTTCAAGCCCTATGTGGTGTTTGTGAAGCCTCCATCCATCGAGCGTTTGAGAGAGACCAGGAAGAGCGCAAAAGTCATCTCAGGCAAAGATGATAAGAACTCGTCCAACCCCTTCTCGGTAATACACGCCCCACACAGCTTTGACTTCAGTCTGTCCATCTATCATCCTCTCTCATCCTAATTGGATCACTTTTCTCTCTCAGTAGGTCATTGTGGGTATTAGGTTATGTTCACTGAGTTTTCATTTCACTATCTCACCTAGTTCTTGGTGAAATAAGAAATAGATTTCATCACTTACTGGCAACATTCACATAATTTATTACAGTCATTTTCTTTTTGGACCTTGCAAACAACTCCTGGTTTAGTGCGTTAACGTGTGTGTGTGTGTATGTGTTTGTGTAACCGCTCCCCTGAGCATCAACCTGATATGAGACCCATAAGCTCACACTACACCTGTATGACTGCACTCAAAGAAAACACATGAAATCAATTAACACGTACAACAGACCCTTACCCTGTCCTGCTGTTAGTTTGTGCTATGTGTGTGTGTGCGATATGGTGTTGAATATGCGGGGTATCTAATGACTTTCCCAGAGTTCAGCTCTTTCCTGTGTATCTCGCTGTGTGTCTGCACCGGGGCCAAGCGCGCTTGCTACAGGATAAGTGACCCCAGGAACCCGACTCCACCACATGCAGAGATGGCTTGATGCCGATTGTTACCGCAGAGACATTCTATGTCAAATGTGGTTAGGAGCTCCAAACACGTGCTCACCTGTCAACCTGTTGACCCAAAAAGTGTTCAAATGCAATACATACTATTTTTCCGTCTTTTGCACAACACAGACCAGCAACAGTCACTCATGGCAATTTTGCACAATGGTTCAACTGGATGCTAATCATTTTAAAGTTATTTTTATGGGCTTTTTTATGCCTTTTATTTGGATAGGACAGTAGTGAGATGGTATCTGTGCCAACGCTAATCATTTTAACACATCAGCTTTGGTCTGTTTATCCATTATAATAATAATAATAATTCATTACATTTATATAGCTCTTTTCTAGGCACTCATAGCGCATTACATTACATTTACATCTCCTCATCCACCACCAGTGTGCAGCATCCACCTGGATGATGCGACGGCAGCCATAGTGTGCCAGAACGCCCACCACAGACCAGCTTATTGGTGGAGAGGAGACAGAGTGATGATGCCAATCAGTAGATATGGGGATTGTTAGGAGGCCATGATGGTCAGAGGCCAGTGGGCAAATTTGGGATTTTTTTAATGACCACAGAGAGTCAGGACCTCTGTTTTATCATCTCATCTGAAGGACAGTGCTTGTTGACAGTATAGTGTCCCCGTCATTATGATTTCATAGAAGCGACTACTTTCAGTTACACGTGTACCCACAGTTCATCTAGGCTGCAGTGTGACAAATGGATACACGGTAGGGCTGCACAATATTGGAAACAAACTGACATTTAGATTTTTTTTTGGTAAATACTTTTATTTTTTTTCCCCTCCAAACTTCGTTTTTTTCCATTTAGATTTTTCTGGATTGCATTTTTTTCCCATGTTATTTTTTCTAGACTCTGTTTTAATGGTTAAATTGAAACCAAAAATTTTATTTTTTGGTAAATGAATTCTGGTAAATAATTTTTCTGGTAAATATTCCTTAAAGTGATTTAGTAATAGTTTTATTAATAATAATTTTATTAGTAGTAGTAGTACTATCATTACAGTAAGTAATGTATTTCTGTCAGTTTCTTCAAATTAAAACTAACTTTCATTTTGGCGGCTTGCTTTGAAGACCTTTACGTTTCTGTTTGTATGACGATGGTTTTTAAAAAAAAATAAATGGTAAAATGCTCATAAAGTGAAAAATCATAGGACCCTATATAAAGAATTATAGGAATTTTCACCAGATAACTTGAATAGCTATATTTGGGAAGAATTTTGTTGGGGAGTGCATATGCATACAAAAAAAAGTAATAAATAAAAGCTGTGAAATGGATTTTTATTTGAGTGTATATCATTTTAGGGTTAAAACGTGAAAAAACATGAAAACAATTTACAGGAACCAACTGAAACCTCTTTCAGTAACCATAAACGGGAAAAAAAATAATTTCCACTGTTTTTGACGATGGGATATGATTATTTTCAATATGACTATATATGACTTTGAAGTATAAGAAATATATTGTAAGAGTACTGTTGTACTGTAAAATAAAGTATTTATAATAATAATTGTTTTTATTACATTGTCTTAATTTCCTCATTTTCAAATGTTAAAATATCGAGCATTTGTTTTTGCGCTTTTCCAGCAAGAAGTATATGTGCTGACAGATTCAAAGGTGAAGTAGCACACTGTTAGTTTGCAGCTTAACTTTGAGATGCTGAAATTCTGTATGGTCTGCGATAATATCGTAATTGTAGTTTTAACGATGTGCGATTTGACATTATCGAGTATATTGCGTAAAGCAAACAAAACAGACCTACAGATGGGTAAAGTTACAGTACTTTGAAAATAGCCGATGCTGTTACACTACTGAAAAATGTATCAAGGTTAAATTGAGTTCAGGTGCTAGTTGAGGGACTGTCGGTCTGTTATTGTGGTGCCATCAGCCCATGAGTGTTTTCATGATGAGTAATTAGTCACATGACATTTACAACTCAGATGATTGTTTAGAGTAGACCATTACATACTTTCTATAATGTAAATAATGACCATTAAAATGCATGTAAAAAATGATACAGAAACTGTACAAATTCTACAGAAAACACTGTGAGTCTGTGACTGTAAAATCTGTTACCTTATATATGGTGAAAAACGGCAAATGATTGACCATTGCATTACATGTAGTTATACATGTACATGTCTATATAATTCACAATGAAAAACAGTAAAATGACATTTCCAGAAGTCCCTGCATGATGCATCACATATTATTACACAGGGTTTCCGCGGGGTCTTAAAAAGTCTTAAATTGTACAAGAAAGTCTTAATTATGACTTCAAGAGGTCTTAAATTTGGGGGACGGAAAGACCAGAATTGCGATATGGCTCAATGTGACGATTAAACTTCAAAAGGCTATGAAACATGAGCGCTGCACGTTCAAAGTCCGGTGCTGCGCTGCTTTATGTACTGCCGTTACCGGGGAAACTGGTATCCAGAGAATGAGTGTGCAATTTCAATAAAACTTGTTTTGATCAGAGTTCAGACAAATGCGAAAATCCACCCATGTTTTTACCCTGCAAACACGCAGAGCTTTAAATGTGAACTGGTGGCTCGATAAGAAAACAATACATTATAAAAATCTTAATAGGGGTGGGCGATATGGTCTGTGATAATATCGTAATTGTAGTTTTAACGATGTGCGACTTGACATTATCGAGTATATTGCGAAAAGCAAACAAAACACACCTACAGAGTGCATGCATACATTACGTGATGAAGTCTAGTAAGTTAACATAGGCAGGGCCGTTTCTAGCCATTTTGATGCCCCAAGCGAAATCCCTATTGGCACCCAAACCCAAATAGATTTTCAAATAGTTGTTTCTCGACCAAATATTTTCAGATCCTAATAAACCATACATCAATGGTAAGCTTATTTATTCCGCTTTCAGATGACGTATAAATCTAAATTTCGAAAAATTGGGTCATTATTTATTTTTATGCTGGCCATGCAAGAACTGGGATATTTTCAGCTTCCAGGAGATCCTTGCAACATGGGGCCGTGCATTATCATGCTTCAACATGAGGTGATGGTCAGGGATGAATGGCACAACAATGGGCCTCAGGACCTCGTTACGTATCTCTGTGCATTTCAAAATGCCATCAATAAAATGCACCTGTGTTCGTTGTCCATAACATATGCCTGCCCATACCATAACCCCACCGCCACCATGGGCCACTCGATCCACAACGTTGACATCAGCAAACTGCTCACCCACACGACGCCACACACGCTGTCTGCCATCTGCCCTGTTCAGTGAAAACCGGGATTCATCCGTGAAGAGAACACCTCTCCAAAGTGCCAGACGCCATTGAATGTGAGCATTTGCCCACTCAAGTCGGTTACGACGACAAACTGGAGTCAGGTCGAGACCCCGATGAGGACGACGAGCATGCAGATGAGCTTCCCTGAGACTGTTTTCTAATAGTTTGTGCAGAAATTCTTTGGTTATGCATGCAACAATCAGAGACAGCAATTGACAGCGCTCTGATCCAGTGGCATACAGGCATCTTCAGATTGACAGTACTCTAGCCCAATGATGTTGGGGGATCCAGTGGGGGTGGCAATCATATTTCAGGGTGGCCGTGCCACTCTTTATCACAAACACTGCTAAAATGTAGTGCCAGTACGTGCGCTCATTGGCGCCCCCTCCAGCTGGTGGCGCTCTAGGCGACCGCCTAGCTTGCCTATGCCTAGAAACGGTACTGAACATAGGTTAAACTTGTGCACGTACGCATTTAGAGTGCCTTCTTTCACTGCATCAATCAGTCTATGAAAATGCATTTAGAATTATCACATAATTCAAGATATGGGGGCAGAAAATGTATATATTTATATCATATCATATATCACACGAAGAGTGCCATTTTTTGTTTCTCCAAAAGTCAGCATGATTACAAATGTGATATTGATTTTATGCAACAGTTCAATAAACAAGAAGTAAATTAAGATATTTACGTTTTAGACACCATATTGCCTGCTTTTGTTCTATTTTGCCAACAAAAGTCATTCCAAACAAAGCCACAGCACTGTTTTGCGTCTCTGAGAAACATGACAGTGTTTCTTTCCTGAATGAATCAACTGTTTAAATTATTCGATTCAATCGCAGTGACTTACTTATTAACTGTGACTTGCTGCCACCTGCTGGCGCTTTTAACTTCACATTTAAAGTATCTTTTAATTGTTTTTTATAATTTCAAACAAGTTTTGAATGTTTTATGTTTAAAATATCAAAACATTATTTATGCATTTGTAATGGCAGGTTAAAGTATTCTATGTCACTCTGAGCTGCGTTAAACAGTGTGTAAATGCCACTTCAGATGCAGCTTCTGTGTTTTCACTACATTGCAAAGATGAATTCTGTTGATGCTGATTTCATTTGCTTGGTAACAGCCCAAATGCCTTCACTCTTGATGTCGGCAGCACACATTTATTAAATTAAATTG